GCCCCCCCTCTGGATCCACCACTGTTGCTGGTGCATCGAGTATTATCACATTTGCATATTTACACACCGATTATAGAAAACGATAAAACTGTCTTCGGTAGCGGGCAGAAACAATATGTATCAACAGGATTAGCGAAGGAATAGTGAGGGAATTGCTCCTTTACGTCCCGGGAAGTGACCGTACCACCGGAGATGTCTCTATTGGGTTATTTATTTAATAACATATTATACGCAACACCTTCTGCCAAATTAATATAATTGTTTTCCTTTAATACTTGTTTTCATTCTTTTTCCATGTTTTATTGATTTATATTACTTTGTTTTTCTTATAAATCGCCAGTTTCTTCAAAAGTAGTTTTTTTTAAATCATTTTCGTGCTTTATTTTTTTTTTTTTTTTTTTAGGAATTTTTATAGAATTTGTATGTTTTAAATATGTGTTCTAGTAGTTAGTGTAATCCCATGCTTGGCTTCCAGGGTCGGTGACACCACGCAGCCCCTCGTGCATGCCAGTGGTGACGCAACCAAAACAATATGGATACTAATCGTACTCAAATATTCAAAAGTAACAAATAATTTCATACATAAATGTCTCATTAAATATCTTTTAGAAATATTTAGGAATATATGCTTGTAATAAACATGTGTGTTGTCACTGCTGGCGTAGTGTATAGGCTGTGAAAAAAGTAACATAGTTTCCTCATATACACCACTGTTATTTGCTTGTTGGCTCAGATAAAGCGGGAGGGTCGTCACCTGCGCGCGCGCGGGAATTGAGTCCCAAGTGATGATAACAACACACGCTAAAAACGCAAAGGCTCATGGGTAGACGCTTGCTTGTAAACAATGACACGCTATGGCCATCCTCAGATTAGTATTACTAGTCTGAGGGCCATCTGACACATGCGCAGGTGACGACACCACCGCTTTAAATTAATGACGTCGGTCGTCACTGGATACACCCCGATGTTTTTCAATATATATTCACAGAACATTACTAAAGTATATTTAATCAGTGTATGTATGTTCACAGTAATAAAAACGTGCAGAGAAAGAAACGATTGGCGGGAAAGAAGGCCCACACTAAGCCATGTATTGTGGAACAAGCTGCCGACGAAAATACGTTGACCTATGAGGAACAGACTCTACCAGAACCGACTTATAAAGAACAGAATCCATCAGAACCGTTTAAGTACACAATGGCATCAGCGGAACTACTCGTAAGTAAACCTTCCACCCATTCACGCCCTCTAGCGACAAAGTGCTACTGTGACGTCTAATTACGTAGATGGATGGAAGCGACGCCGTTCAAAAAACGACACAAGTGTTTGGCTTTGAATGTATTTGTTATTGGCCGGAGACTATAAATTAAAACAATACCGACACGATCACGGTGGGTGCTCTTTCACCAATGTATGTCATAGAAGCGCTTCGCCACTAGAGGGCGCGACTTAAAGGAAGGCTACTATTACTACTTGCTATTACGTCCTGGGTTGTCACGCCCACACGAAAACTATTCGAGTATTTTTAACGTTATTATTCATTGATTTGTAGTCTGGCTCTCCCCCGAGATGCGTTACATGTAATATTTTCCGCAATGCTGTTATGTACAATTGTCGCGTGTGTGCCAGATTCTTCCATTCCATATGCCTTACTACAAGTAAACACGGCGGTGGCGCTAGAAAATCTTCATTACATCAAGTTAATATGATGGTTGGATGGAGCTGTCCTGAATGTGTAAGTGTCATATAAAATTATTTCAAAATTTAAATATGTAGATTTCTGGTGTGCATTATGTTGCGTTAATAATTTTTTCATCATGATATCAGCTCGTGCTAATACAATATCTCTCCATTATATGTCGTTTCATCACGTCACATATATGGTCGCATAATATGAGGTTATTACGAGGATACCTCAAAGTATGCACGACGACAGTACAGCGGAATTATCGACCGAAGCGCAGCGGAGGTCGATGGCGTACTGTCTGAGTGCATAGTTTGTGGTATCCTCGTAATAACCTTATTATAATACATCTTTTTCTTCCAAGGATACATCATGGGAATGCCTAAATACGAAACGTTTAGAACAGAACTTGAATCAGTGAACTTCTTTGTGTGGCAGCCATGTTTGTTTTTATTATTAGAGGACGCGTACGCGCGTAATCATTCCACATTTGGAATTCGCATTTCCTTATATGGTAGGATGAAAATACACCGTAAAATACCGCAAAATTACGGCACGCTGTAACTTATGGCATTACGGTGACAGATGTATAATAATATCTTATATTCTATACCCGTTTCCTCCAATTTCACCCTTTAATTTGATTTTCTGTATTCTTAGGAGGATATTGGAAAGCTGTTGACTGTTAGTGAAATGACTTCTGTTATTAGCCGTTTTGACAAGTTGGATTCAAATGAAGGTAAGTTAAAAACAAATAGTTATTAAAAATGATAATGTACTAATTACATCACGATCATCACCACTACCACTAGTACCAGTCCGAGACAACGATACGGATATGTTTTGAACTAAACAGTATCACACTATCATCGTTTGATTATACCTACCTGTACAAATACGATACCCATGAGCGAACAGTTTTGTGTGTTTCATATAAAAATGACCACCCACCGATTTGAAA